ATCCTTGAGTTAGATTGCAAACAAATCCAGCCTGATCTACCACCATGTGGGGAAAAAACAAAAACAGGCAGAAACCCCCCACCTCAAGCATGTATGCTCATTAGGGTTAAGGGTCATAAGGGAAATACTGGGTCTGTGAGAAAACAGAAGAGTGACATGGAGATCAATACTGCCCTTACTGGAAAAATGGTCTGTTTTTAAAGGGGGAACGAATAAGACAAGGCAAAATGAAAGCGCACACTTTTTTCTCTTTCCACTTTCCACCAACACTTCACAGTATCACAGTTTTCCATTAAAAAACAAACAAACAAAAAATAGATCCAATCTTGGGGAGGAGGGTGGAGGGGGAAGGTGGCTATTCAGAAAGAAGTACAGAAATAGAGCAGCTTGTTAATTTCCTCCTGTAAGCCGTTTTGGGCATCTATTCATATACGTATACATATAAATCACACATACACACACACACTTTATTTTTTCCTTATGTTCTTGCTTGGACCTTTCCTGGAAGAGCTTTATGTTTCCGAGTTTGAGAACCGCTGCAAAAAATCATTATAATGAAAGAGTGATATATTAAATTAATAGACTGCCAACTGGGACAACCATGGGCTACCAAGATAAACTTACCCTAGGGATGTCCAGATAGGTTTGTCTTTATATGTCCATTTAAATGAATTATTTGCACTGCACAGGCTTTTAGTCTACTAAAAGAAACAGATAACGTGAATAGAATATAACATTGTCACAGGATAATGGTCTCTTGCTGCCAAGAGAAGAAAAAAAATATTGAAAATGAACACTGAGGTGATGTTACCCAGTTTATTTTCAAAGTGGGAGACAATTAGGTTGCAACAATGTTGCCTTCTGCTGGTATTCTTTGTATTATGACAAATGAAGACAAAGTAAATAAAATAAGATGGATGGATATTGCTGATGTGGAGTGACAGTTACTCACTGTGCCATATTGAAAGATTACACTCTTATTGGCCTAGATTTCATATAGTGACAGTCACACATCAGTAATGATTAGGTAATCTAACAATTTAATGCACAGTCTCAGCTTTTTACAGCTAAAATTATACTGGGGCAATAGCACGTGTATACTTAAGGCTTAAAACAACTATTTGCAAAATCAGTCAGCTCCTGTTCAGACACCTGAATGAAGTGCTCAGTATGCAGCAATTCCCATTGTTCTGACTACTTATTTAGGTGCCTGAATTAGAGCTGTTACATGTTGAGTTCTTTTGAGTATCTAACCCTATTTATAAATGAACTGTAAATCCATAATATGCACTACTTCAACTCAGTGGTATGTTTTGTAACTACTGCCCTCTCTTTTAGGGTGTATGGAAGAGCACTGATTTACACTGTCAACAATTCTGATTGTCGTTCATCAAAAGTCAGTAACTAGAATGAAGTTACTATGTATTTTTAAGCCTAAATACTGCTGGGGCAGTCTTCTAAGCAGGGAGATTAATTCCACAAGAAACAAGATAAAGATATATATAAATATATAAAGATATATATAGCTCAAGAAAAAAAGATATACATAAGCTCACTAAGACAGCTAAGGGATAAATCCAAACTATGCAGATGAATCCTGTACTCCCTCCCCAAGACAGTGAAATGAATGATCACTACCCACTGAGTGGGGAGCATGGGGTACGGAAAGCTTTTATGAACTTAGTCCTCTCCAGAGCACTTGTGTAGAATCAAGTATAACCTGAGCCAAATTGTTCTAACTGCCTTTATCCTGTAGACCATTAGTGATTTAGAGACTGGTGTGAGACTCTAGCAGAGCTGCACTGGAAATTATATGGTCAGAAATGTACACCATTACATTTGATAGGAAAGAATAAATAATTCTGTCAAAAAGCTCTGTAATTTTAATTGAAATTTCATAGAAGAGCATCAGCCCAATGACAGTATTGTTAGTACAGTATTTAAATGATAGTTTAGCTGAAATTAGTTAATCATGGGTACTGAATGTATACAAAATCACAATTAGGCAGCTATTTTCACACTTGAGGCACACAATTCTCCGTGTTAGTCAATGCAGCAGAACTCAATAAAACACTATCACTTGTATCTAATATGATGGTATTTATGCACAAGTATGGTTTTCAATAACATTTTCAGCTGCTTCAAATTAATTCTACCTTATTCATTCAGTTTGTCAAAGTACTGCAGAGGATAACTCTTCGATATTAATAGTAATGGAGATGCATTGCATCTGACAGTGCTAACAACATGTTTAATAGAATACATTACATTTAAGTAGATTAAGGATATGAAGTGAATGCTTTAAAAAAAAATCTAGTGTTTCAGAAAACAGCTGTCTTTGAATGATAGTCTCTGTTGTAATTTTCTAAATAATCTCCTTTTCTATATTATATTTCCTTTTAATTTGATTTTATATATAGTCTCACGAGATATTAACAGGATTCAACTCTTTTGCATTTTCTTTAGCTATTAGTAAAACATGTTTTATATCCAATGACTGTCATTAATGAAGTCAATAGTTTACTGTTGTTTATAAATGACTTCATCATAATAAAAAATGTCATTTTTAGGTGTATTTCACGAAAAGAAATAATAGGAAACATAAATTTCAGATCCTTAGACTCTATTAGAGTGGAGCTCTTTACTATTTTTTAAAGAGGGTCTACATAGTTTATCTTTATGCATTTCATTAATCCAATTGTGCTCTTCTTCAAAGCAAAGGCAATTTTGCCACTGATATGGGAGGAACAGAATCAGGCCTTATACCTTTCTTTCCTGCAACTGAATTTTTAATTTAAGTTCTCTCTCATACATACACAAAGGAAATGATGCAACCATTTTACTTACTTACACACACACACACACACACACACACACTGGTTACAGTACAGTGCTCGCTTTTGCTTCTATAAGTATTTTTAGAAAAATGCTTGTATCCAAGAGGTACATATTGTAAGGTTTTATATGTGATGAAAGCAATTTATAATTGTGACTAACAGTTTATAAAAAATACATTCAAAATGTAATATTTGTTGCAGCTGTTTCTTTAAAAACAGACAGACTGACCTACATGTTTTAATTTTAAGAGCATAGAAATGTCAGTCTCAAACCTTTTATTCAATGACACAATAGTTTGAGATTATTATAGCTCGCTACATGTTGTGGCAATTTAATAAGATTCTCTTTTTCAGTTATGTGAAGTTTAAAAAAAAATTTAATAACCAAAAAGTTACCCAGTAATATCTATCCTTTTCTCCCTGAATTCTCTTTCAACAATCAAACTGCTAACTTTCAAAGCATCTCCTGGGATTCTTAGTACAAATAACCAGGGTACTAAACATTACAAATGCCTGATAACTTTTTAGCAGTAATATCAAATACTTCAGTTTTTTGCAAAGCATTCTCTGGCCATCCGTTTCACTTCATGGTCACTCTTATCCTCACAGAGGAAGAATGGGTCCTACACTGGGTATTTGCAGTTTAAAATGGTAAAAAAAACCCCTTTCAGATACCAGTTAGGAAAACACAGCAATTGTTTCCAACATGCAAGAACAATATCTTGGTTGAATGCTAGAACCACAAAAAGTAGACAAGAGAAACCACTAACTTCCGACATTTAAAAAACTTTTAAAACTATTAATAATTCAATCTGTTCTTTAAAATTTATGTTGAAATATTTTATCAGTTCAACACACATTCACTTCCTGTTTATGAGACTAGCTGATGGCAACATACAAGCTTTATATAAAATAACTCTTCTTGGACCCAATCATGGTAGGAGTTGAGTACTTTCTGAAAATCTTTCCCTCAGTACCAAATGAAGCATCTACCTGGAGGGGCTTGTCACCCTGTAGAATCAAACTCTGACATTTACTAACTTTTCAGCAATTGAGGGTGCTGGTAAGAGAGTCTACCTTCACAAATGCAGAGGTCCCTGGGTTCATGAGAAAGGTTTCCATGTGGGGTAGGGGAGATGAATTCAGAGATCTCAAAAGGAGTATCCACCTTCAGCACAGAGCAGAACCTAGTCCAATGAGGGCTGCTTCTGTGCTACTTCAGAAAGGGCAAAGGAGATGCGACAGTCAATTTATTGCTATGATCCAGCAGCCATACATGGAGTGAATGGATAGTTTGTGGACTGAACTCAGTCATAGAACTGCAGCAACTACCACAGAGGTACCTATTAGGGCCGTGTGAAATTTTGCCAATGTTTCGTTTTGAGGCTGTTTCGACTCATTTTGAGCTCAAAACAGCCAAATTGAAACGAAACGAAAGACTTTGAAACAGCCTTGAAACAAGGGCACTTGAAACGTTTCGAAAGTTTAGAAGTGTTTTGAGTTTCAAAGCTGGGCTCACTCATAGGGAAACAAAGTAAGGAGAGGAAGGGGGAAGAGTGGGGAAGGACCATGCTGATATTGACATGTGCAGCTGGCCAGTGACTGTGATCCTTCCCTGAGGTCCCTTCCAACCCCAGTGCTCAGAGGGAGGGACAGAAAAAACAGCTGTGCCTTAACACATACACAAAGTCACACATCACAAGTTTTGCTTGTCAGCAACTTGAAGTACAGTTTCCCAGAAAACCCTGCACCTATCTCCTTATAGGCAGTTTTGTGCTTCCCCATTACAGTCTATGGGCAAAATGTCAAAACAATGTTGAAACAGAGAAACATTTTCGACTAAACAAAATAGAACAGTGTTTTTGAAACTAAACAAAACTTGAAATGAAACACTGTCCCATTGAAACAGCAGGCGAAATGAAATGGTGCTGTTTCGCACAGCCCTAGTACCTGCTTACCATAAAGGAACTCTATAGCCTACAGTGAGGAAAGATTCTAACTCCATATCCCCTTGTACCAAGCACATGCATATTAGCTGGGTGCTGGAGGGCAGATTTACATCTTTCATGAGTTTCAAATCTTATTACTTTTTCATTTGACTAATAAGAATTCACACTTGAAGTCTTAGCTGTAATAGAAGGGTAGTTTCTGCACATACTGTACCTGCACATCATTGGCATTCATCCTTGTTCCCTCTTTCCCAACAAAGATGTCATCTATGTCAACAAGAATGTACCTATCCAAGGACAACGTGAGCTTCTTCCCAGACAGGAAAGAGACCGCATCTACAAAGATCAGCTTGTGCAGCCAAAAGTTTAAGTTGTTGCCGAAGAGGACTCGTTGAATCCCATCGTGCAGTCCTGCGTCATGAACTACTGTGGCATAGAGAGCACTTTTAGCGACGGGTGGTGGAAGGTTTTCTGGTGCCTTTACTTTTGCGAATAACACTGGCTGATAGGCTGAGTGATTAATTTGGAATACTGTCCAGTCATTTCCAGGCAAGGGGCCTTTATCAAGCTTTGATGATTTAGTCACATGAAGCAATGGGGAATGAGGGTTAATACAACAGTCTTTAACACCTAGATTGCTGTGAACATGAAAAGAGAAACCCTTCAACTGAAAGCTCTGCAAGCTGTTCTCACTGCCTTTATAAAATCCAATGACACCCACTCCATATTCTATACAGTATTTATCTAGAAGGCCTCTGTTCCAGGAGTCCATATTCACATACTTCAAAATGTTTTCATATATGATGAGAACATATTTGCCTTTATTTTTATCTATAAGCACTGGAAGATCACCTTTCCCAGGAGCAATCTCTATGTGGTATTGAAATCTGCTGGATTCTAGAATGGTTATTATATCTTGACCAAGTGTTGAATACTGACTTTCCACAAACACCAGCACTACAAGATCAGTCCTCAGGGGATCAACAGGCTTCACTGTCTTCAGTTCCATCAATTTGTATGGCAACAGCTGAAAATCACCACATTCCATGTCTGAAGAGATCTCAGAAAGTTCATTTTCCTGTTTGTAGCCATTATACAAATAGTAAGCAGAAATAACAATGCTTACCATACAAAAAGTGGCAAGCAGGATAACTGTTCTTTGAAAATGTCTGTGAAGTTTCATGATAAAACTCATGTTGTGTACTTGCCTTAGACTGTTCCCAAGCAGCAGCAGCATTAAAAAAATTATAAACAGCTTTCAACAACTTGTTCCAGTCCTGTTTAATAATTTATGTCACCATTGCAGCACATATGTCTATCTTCCACAAGCTTTACAGAAGGTATAGTCTAGAAGAAAAGAAAATTAGAGGTTTAAGTCATGCATTAAAATATCATTGCATTTTAATTATCTTATAGTAGGCAAATCATTGCTAAGTATAGGTTTGAAAAATCAAGTGTCTTTTTTTGAAGTTTGAAACAGTGTTAAAATGTTTTCTTCCCCCTAACGTTCACTTTTTTCAGATTTTACAATCAAACAAATTTCATTTCTGCATTTCCTAGCTTCACAGGCTGAGATCAGAGATCTCCTCCAGTCCCACATAATAACCAAATCTCAGCTAGCCTGTGTACCTGTGTAACAACTATCATGTTGGTTGTACTGATCCTAGAACAGGGACTGGTAAAATACCAGGCACTTTCATCTGGCCCATGGGCACCCACCAACTAATTGTAGTCTACTCAGCCCTTCAGTTCATGAGGGTGGAAGCGAGATGCCCATGTATACACACCCCTGCCAACATAGCCTACAGGGAAGTGGTGGGGTCAGCGACACAGCTGCAGCTGGGTGGAAGCAAAGAGTGTGGGGCTGGGGCTGAGGGCACTGTGGAGCCTGCACCCAGTGGGGTGGCAACAGTGCAGAGCTTGGGTGGGCAGTGTGTGGGTGTGAGGGAGCGTGTGGGGGAGTGTGGGGCCCCTCTCCCCATACTCCCCCTATGGCATGCAGCCCTGGCAGCAGCAGGCAGGGGTGCTCATGCCTGGCACAGGCGCTGGTGCCCGGTGGCATGTGGCTCTGACCAGTGCTGCACATTGCAGTGAGGAGCAGAGCCCGGCCAGGCTGCCTGTATCGCTGGCGCTACCTGCCACACATGCGTAGCCTCTGCACTTGTGCAGCACTGGAGGGAAGTCCCTCTGTCAGAAGTGCAGGGGAGCCCTGGCCACTGCTTCCCCATGAAGTCCTGGGACCTGCACAGCAGAGAGCAGCACAGGCAGCTGGCTCTAGCACATGGATCGTCCCCCTGGTGGCATGCAACTGTGGGGGCTGTGCAAGCACAGTGGGGAGTACCAGTAATAAAGGTGGCCTGGCCGGGCTGTGCCCCTCACATGCAGCGCTGGCCAGAGCCACACTGCTGGGCAGCAGTGCCTGTGCCAGGCATGAACACTACGAGTGCGCTCATCTGCTGCGTGTGCCGGGGGGGGGGGGGGGGTGTGTGTGGAGGGGATCCCCAAACCCCCCCACACACCCCACAAATGCCACACACCCACATTCTTCCTCCACAACCCCCTATATACACCCCCAACATATCCTATGCCCCCCCACACACAGTCACATCCCACGCACACCCCAGCATACACACACACAGCATACAAGTCTACGAATTTATTTTTTGAGTTATTATTTAGTCACCTCTATATACCAAATGCAAACAGAAATCATAGCAAACATTTTTTGTAATAAAATTAAAATAGATTATAGTAGGTGTTTGACTTTTAGTGTGTCATCTGTTTTTTTTTCTGGTTCTAAGATGGCAGCCCTCCCTCCCAAAAGGAGCATTTCCAAGAGAAGAGGAAGGACTTCCAGTGGCAAGGCCAGGGGTTAGGGATGGGACTTCCAGTGCCAAGATTGTTGCCCTCCCCCTGGTCATTATCAAGGGGCGGGGCTACCCATGTGGCCCTCGAAAGTTCACCAAACTTCATTAAGCGACTCTCCACCTGAAATAATTGCCTGCCCCTGTCCTAGAATGTTAATAATAGAGGATGAGCAAAAAGGATTTCAAAAAGGGTTTCAATGGGAGTTAGAATAATAGAAAATTAAAGTTGGAAGGAATCTCAGGAGGTCATCTAGTCCAACCCCCTGCTCAAAGCAGGACCATGCACAACTAGACCATCCAAGCCAAAGCTTTGTCTATCCAGATCTTAAAAACCTTCAAAGATGGAGATTGCACAACCTCTCTGGGTAACTTGTCCCAGTGCTTTACTATCCTCCTTGTGAGAAACTCTTTCCTAATGCTTAACATAAACTTCATTTGCTGCAATGTGAGACCATTGCTCCTTGTTCTGTCATCTGCCACTCCTGAAAACAGTCCAGCTCCATCCTCTTTGGAACCACGCTTCAGGTAGTTGAAGGCTGCTATTAACTCCTCCCTCAGTCCTCTCTTTTCCAAACTAAATAAGTCCAGTTCCCTCAACCTCTCCTCAGAAGTCATGTGCCCCAGGCCCCTAACCACTTTTACTGCCCGCAGCTGGACTCTCTCCAATTTGTCCACATCCTTTCGGTAGTGGGGGGCCCAAAACTGGACACGGTACTCCAGATGTTGCCTCACCAGTGCTGAATAGAGCGGAAGAATCACTTTCCTGAAACTTCTGGCAACACTCCTACCAATGCATCCCAGTATGCTGTTAGCCTTCTTTGCAACAAGGGAACACTGTTGGCTCATATTCAGCTTACTGTACTAGTGGGGAACTCCACTACACTTGGGGCACTTCACTTGATACTGGCTGCCAACCGGACATTGAGCCATTGACTACTACCCCCAATGATCCAGCCAGTTTTCTATCCACTATACAGTCCATTCATACAACCCATACTTCCTTAGCTAGTCTAGTGCCTAGTTAGGAATCTAGATACTAGAATAAGCACTTAAATACCTTTACAAGTATAGTCCTAAATTCCCTTCTTGGTAACTTTGTATTGGACTCATCCTGTGGAAATCAAACATAGGAAGTGTGATACCAGAGAACTGCAGAGGTGCACATCCCCTGCCAAATCCTAAATCCTGCCCCAATGTGCACTGGAATGTCTATGATGTCTGACCAAACATTTATACAGTAGAAAAAAATATATTTCTAATCTTTATACTTTAAAAAACAAAACCTTTAAGGAGGGAGAGAGAGGGGAAATCACTCCACACAGGAGATTTTAGATTTTGCAACACAATCTCATGTCAACATGACATTGAAATACTCAAGTTAATGTTGCATGAGCTCATGAATATATATATATACATTTTTAAACTCTGCCACATTGTATGCATGGATTCTGCTGCAATTCTTTCAGTACAGTCATGCACCTTCTCAAACAATGTACTATGACCTTCCCCCCCCACCTTTAATGTCCAATATACATTTGTAGTATTGGGCTGTCTGACACACGCATTTAAATATTATCTATACAAATGTACAAAGTAAAAAAGTAACCTAATCTTTGTAAAACATGTTAAAAATTAAATTTAACATCAAAGAGCAGCAATTAAATTTGCTGGTGCATACATGGCATCTAATTTTGCATTTTATGTCCAAAGTTTAATAAAACTGTGCTGACGGTCAAAAAGATAATATAATGGGGAAAAAATTAAAATGTCTACCTAAAAAACAAACTAGAAAAATATTATAATGAAATTAGTTTAAATATAAAATAAAATGAAATACTGCAAGATGTAGACTTAAGGTCATAGCAGCATTTGTATAATACTGTATAGCAAATAACAAATTAGTATAATCTCATAATATATCATAGTTCATAAATATAAGGGGATGCCTTTAAATTTGCACGTGAAATCTTAAATCAATCACTTCCTGACTTTTGATACTTAACTAGATAGATATCTTTCACATACTTGTAATGCATTTTTTTATTAAACTGAAAACTATTTTTTTTAAAGTTAAAACTGAAGAGTTTCTAAATTTAGTCAACAGCCAGTGCTGATGCGTATAAAGTCTATGGAGTTTAACATTTCTCCTGCAGTATTTGTGAGTACCTCCAGAGCAAAAAAGTGTATCTATATGCAAAAACTAACAGAGACGCACATTTACACTTTCTTCAGGAACATGCTAATGCTCATTTTAGAGACCTAATGAAGTTTTGGTCCACAGCATTTTCTGCTCTGCACTTTTCTGCCAAGTGAGCAAAAACATTCTTTTGCTAAGAATTTCTATTCCTAGAATTTCACTAGCTTCATTTATTGTTGGTACACAAAGCAGAAAATAATTGAACAAGACCTAGTAGGCTTGTGTTCCATAAGATATGAAGAAAATTAACAAACAGATAAAGGAAAAGTTTGGTAGCAAAAGAAATTTTGGGCTTTGTCCTACTCCTAATAGTCCATAGCAAAATCCCCACTGACTTGAATCAAGAGAGGAACAGATCTTTTATTCTGAAGCATTCAAAATTCATGTTACCAAAATGTAAAAAAAATAGGGTAGAAGCAAACAAAGTACTTAACAATGTCTTTTCAACTTTCTCAGCTTTAGCTACATCCCAATGGGGGAAAAAAGGAGTATAAGCACAAGCTTAAAAAAAGATGAACAGCAGCACAAGCTGAGTAGAGAGGGGCATCCGAGGCTGTTTTAATGAGAGCTTGGCACTTCAGTTATAGCCTGCATAAAAGCTGGACTATGGACAAGGAAATGAGCACACAGCTGTATCTTATTCAGATGATGATTATATTTAAACCCACCAAACAAACCTATTCTCTGCCCATAGCTTTCCTTTTTTTACCCATGCTCTTTAGAGTACAGGAGTAGGTGCACAAGTATGCTGACACTATGCTCACTAGAAAGGCTTAAACTTAACACTTAACTTTATTTGTTATTGGAGAAACCCTTATACTCTTGCACTGGAGCACAACAGACTTACACTCTGTTTTGCACAAACATGGACTGGTTAAAAACAATAATTCTAGAGTCACTGGTCTGAAAAATATGCAATTTGAAAATTATTATAAAAAGACTAAATAACAACTCTGTGCGAGAAAACAGCACTGCCGAAGACGTTTGAGAGGTTATTCACTTTGTCACTGTCACACATTTAGGTTAGATACTATGGAGGGACCATCAGTCTAGCTAGCAGTAAAGTGATGGTTAATCAACAGGGAATAGGAAACAAAAGAGAAGCTCAGTCTTCAGAGACTGGGATGAAATTTAAGTAGCACATTTTCTGACAGGTGACTGTTCATTTGTGGATACAACTCACGCCTGAGAAACTTACCACCACAGTTTTGCATCTCTAGTTGAGCTGGCTGACAGAAAATGTACCCTTAGGTAATTTTTACGAGTAAGTTCATGATTA